GGAAATGACAATTTCAAAATTAAGTGTGGCGTTGTCTCCTGCAGAAGAAAAAACGACCCACGCTCTACACCACGACCAAGAGCTACTGCTTGAGTCCGCTCCGACCAGGCTCTCTCCTTAAGGAAGTTAAAGCAAAAAACAAATTTTTTACGACAGTCTCCAAAAAATTATGATGTGTTTGCTTTCATTATGTTGACAACATATGAAAATTTCAAGAATCATAGTGTCACAATTTTTGAGAAAAAAAATAGCAAACTTAGGATTTTATACACAGGCTTTTATACAAATGTCGTTGGGAAACTTACATTTTCACCAATAACTTGGGAAATATTTTTACAAATCTTTCAAAAAACTAGTATGTTATTGTAAATAACAATTAGAATGACATATCCAAATTTCAAGAAGTCTACCGTCGTGATTTAAAAAATTCTTTAATTAAAAGTTTGAACAAAATACTATTGGTTTTCTATATACAGCAGGCAAGAAATAAAACATTATGCATACATTCAACTTTGAAGTATTAATTTTTTAATTATTATTTGAATAATCAATAATAAATAAATGAAGAATTAATTTTTTCACTTATTAGTAATCTTCTACTGTACGATATCAAATAGCTCGTACGATTCATCAAGAATAATGTTAAAATTTACTAATTTTCAATCCAAACTAATTTTTGAGGTTTACTGTACCACTCTAACCCCCTTAAACTGTTTATCTCACGTTCTTGCTTTGGCCTCAGTCTCGTCTTCCCTTTCCCTTCGCTATGCCGCCCAAACCGCTGCCTGTTTTCGTGCATCTTCGTGTCTCCTCGCCCCGGGGCGCGACCCTACGCGTTCACACAGTACTGCCTTTTCGCATCTAACTCCCGTAGTTTAGGTACTTCAAACTATGCGAATCATCTTATTGAATGTGGTCACATTTTTAACTCAAATTTCAAAGTATTTCATGCTTGTGATAAAGGGAAAAAATTAGATCTTTTAGAAACTATCGGCATAAATAAATTAGTATACAATAATAATTTATTAAACTGTCAAAACTGTCAGCTCTAGAGCAAGTATAAGAGAGTGTGGCTGAAGTGTCCGAAAGTTACATTTTTTTGCTATTCTTGATTCTCGTCACTAACAGCGTAGTCAACGGCACGTGCCTATCCGCTGCGAATCGGGCCCAAATCCAACGTAAATTGTTATACTATAATCTGTATCAATAAATCTAATTTTTGTACTCGCTGTCTTACCATTGTGTTCACCTGCTTCGTACCTTCATCATCCTTGAGCCTGAGGTAAGCTCGTTGTGAAAAACCTCATACATCTGCTGCTACTGCTTTCTCTTTTCGTCTGCACTATTCGTATGAGTTTACCCTAACGATCTCGTACAATAATAAATGTTCTCTATCAAAGATTAGCATATTCTGAAGACGTATACATTGAAGATGAGGAAAGTTTAAATTAAAGCTATAGTACGAATATATGTAGGGAACATGATTCTTACATCTCACCCAATATTAAAGGCGATCGATCCTTTGTTGGTTTTGCAATGAATAACGCTGAATTTGTAAAGTGAGTCCTACATGGCAGAATAGTTAGAGTACGAACATGCTACCTATCCTTTATCTTTGTTTAGTGAAAACGTAATGCGTAAAACCAATAAAGCTAGCTTTTATGAATTCTTAAATACCGTACAAGAGCCTTTAAATAGTAAAATGTATATTATTAACAGAGGCTTTCTCATGAATGTCGTGTAGTGGCAGCGTAATCGAAAAGTTTATGAAATTATCGATAAATACGTTGAGTATGTTGATACTTACTTCATTTAGAATAGTATGATAATTTTTTACGGCTATGCGAATAGCGTGGGTACGAAGTCTGCGCAACGTTTGCATCGAAAAAGTTTAATAGTGGGCCGTAAAATCAAAATCGATCAAAATACAAAGATAATCGTCTCCCAAAAAGATTTTTTTTCAAATGACAGTAACAAAAGTCAACTTATACATTGAATTTGCAATAAATTACTGGGTATAAAGAAATTTCGTGTTATTAAAATAGCCTCTGAGGACAGTAATAATTTAATTATTACAACAGCTATCAAAGAAAAATGATTCTAAACTGCTTAGAGTGTAGTGATTGTTGGTAATGATACTAATTGGATAGTCCTTATGACTCAACTGCAAGCAGTAACGTCTTCTCTGAGCAACTTATATTTACAAAAACAAACCTACAAGGGAAAATCAAATCTTTTGCTAGTAGAGTGGTACGGCGGAGATAGTTTTAAGCATGCACAAAATATAAGTATTGAACTAGTTATTGACGAATTTTTTACTGAAAATCTGTATGGTTTAGGTATTTACACCCTAATTGATTTTTTTTTAAAATGTACTAAAGAATCATAAAAAATCTTTTGTTTACTGAAATTGCGTAATTTTTAAATTTGTGTATAAAATTCTTGTACATAAAATTGTCCATCCAGATCGCGACCCACCATTGATAATCGTGTTGAGCAGGCAAAAATACATTTGAAAAACTTTTGTCCGTTCTAATTGAAAAGGCCACGGGATCTGACTTGGTGCCTAGACAATAACTTTTTTTTTAAATACATTTATTCGTGAAAAATTTTTGTAACTATTAATTTTTTAATGCCGAGTTAA